AAGTTTATGGACATGCTACGTAGGGTAGAGAAGAAATTTAAGTTTGGGGCTTTTGAAGAAGGAGAATTCACCTATACCGGGATTCATTTTAGACAGTGGGATGATGGATCGATTGAGTACGACCAGGTCCCCTACATCGAGAAGATACAACCCATAGCTCTTGGGAAGGGACGCAAAGAAGATCCTGAATCCTTGATTTCAGAAGGTGAAAGGACCGCTTTCAGAAGCCTCATTGGAGCACTCCAATATGCAGCAGTACATAGCAGGCCAGATCTAGCAGCCAAAGTAGGAGAGTTGCAGAGTGAGGTCACTAGGGCACAGGTAAAACATCTAGTTTTGGGGAACAAAGTGCTGACAGAGGCCAAGCAGAATCGTGTTTCATTGATGGTGTTACCGATCCAGCCAGAGAGAGTGACCTACTGTGCATTCTCGGATGCCTCCTTTTCATGCACCAAACATACCACGGCACAACAAGGAACCATAATCTTTGCCACGACACCCGAACTTTTGGAAAATAAGAGGTCTGTGGTAGCTCCAGTCGCCTGGTATAGTAAGAAGATTCCTAGAGTTGTCAGAAGTACACTTGGTGCAGAGGCAGCAGCACTGAGCAATTCAGTCGACCGACTTTTGTGGCTCCGGATCCTGTGGGCAACAATCCTCGACCCGGACTGTGATTGGAAAAATCCTGAGGTTTTGTTGAAGAGTCAGAATCAAGCAGGCCTAGTCACCGACTGTAAATCGGCCTACGACCTTTTGACACGAACAGCGTTGCCACAGTGTTCTGAACACCGGACGACTATAGAGTGTCTGCTGATTCGCGAGAGGCTTCGTGATAATGCCACCGTCAGGTGGGTTTGCTCACAAGCGATGTTAGCCGACTGCTTGACGAAGACAATGGACAGCAGTGCTTTGAGAGAGTGTTTAAGAACTGGCAAATACATCCTTCGGGACGAAAGCCACACGTTGAAAGAACGGCTAACTGCTCGGGAGCGACTGAAATGGATCAAGCAGCATGGATCGACAACAACTCGATCATCCGAAGAAGCCATGTTGACTGAACAGATCGGCAAATCTATGCATGAGGAGGATTTTTGGAAAATGGGTCCAAAGGGAGAACTCATTCGGGTGCACGTGAAACCAAGATATCAGTTGTTTTCACCTGTCGGGGTTGTTGACTGTCCTGTTGACTTGAGAAAACTCGAAGTTTTTAGGGACACCTACCAACAGGGGTGTGCAGGAGAACGCAGCTACTGGGTGGGAACATGTGCACATCGAAAGACTTCCTTCCCATGGACCGGCGAGACAGTCTTTTACAAAATAAAAGAGTAAAGGGTGTGTGAAGCTCACAAGCTTACCAATCAGATGTCTCGCATGACGACCTTTTGATCGAACCTACCGAAAGGGTGGGTGGGTGGACCGAACATCGTCGACAAAGAGCGAGGCCGCTTGGACAAGAGGACAGGGTTTCCCCAAGGTTAGGATCATTCAACTCCAGGGTGAGATTAACAATATATATGTATATATGTATATATATGTATATATATATATATGTGTGTGAAAAAAAAAAAAAGTAATAAGACACTCACTATCACTCAAAGCAAGAAAACGTATTCTGGACTTGTGAGAAGATATTAGTAACAAGTGCCACGCTAGTAGTAACAGGTGCCTTACTAGTAGTAACAAAGAATTAAAGTTTATTTTAGTTTTAATTCAAATAGCTGTTTGTTACTACTAGTAAGGCACTTGTTACTACTAGCGTGGCACTTGTTAGAAACAAAGAATCCGAAAGGTCCTTGAGGTGTGGGCCGTGCCGGCCGTGGAGGCCGTCGCGGCGGTGGCGGCCGTGGAGGCCGCGGCCTTAGAGTGTTGCAGCTGAAGGAACCTAATTGCAAAAGGACGCTACTAGTAGCGTCCTTGCTCCTAGTAGTAAGGCCAGGAGCCCCTCATGGCTTCTTGCAATTTCAATTCTAATTCTAATTCTAATAGCTTCTTGCATCTTCTTGCTCCTAGTAGCGACGCCCTTGCTCCTAGTAGCAAAAGGAACCTAATTGCGATGGCCTCCCATGGCCTCCCCTAAGAGCGATGGCCTCCAACCTAGAAGCGATGGCCTCTGTCACTGCCCTTCTCAGCATTAGGCCATTCTCAACTCCTGAGCAAAAGCCTGTCATAGCAGAAATCGTCCAAAACATATCGGTAAATGGTCAACAAACGATGATTGAAATGACTTGCAAACAAACTTTGAGAAATTTCAAGATAAAAAGCCAATTGCAAGAGCTTCAATCCACCTGCCGAATGTCGGGATCTGTTGCAGTGCATACCACGTGGGTAGAGCTGAGGCCCTACGCCAAAACCCCAAAAGCAAATCTGAAAGTTCCAAATCTGAAGGTGAACAATCTTAGTTTTTGCAGAGTCGCATCAAACATCCTGCTTCTTGCTCTGGGCAAATGGACCAGTTGAAGCTTCCATTCCAGGCCTCGACCCAGGAGCGGAAGTTGGCCTGGCAAGAGCTGTATTTTGTCGAAAGTTGCTGGTCTTCGATGAACAAGTGAAGCAACTGCTGCAAAAGTGCAAGAAATTGAATGACTTGAAGTATTTGAGAGGTTCGGGATGTTATAGAGTTTGATTGGGTTGGATCTCTTTCTTCGTTAAAACGTCTTCTAACACGTTTTCTCTCCAACTTCGCTGAACTGAGAGTGTCCAAGCGACGCCCGGCTGAGGCATTGCAGGAGGCCCTGACGTCGACCAGCAATGACTGGTCCATCAGGGCTCGGTAGGGAACAAAATGAACAACTTGCTCCTAATAGCGATGGCAGGAGCCCCTAGTAGCGTCCTTGCTCCTAGTAGCGAAGAATGAATGAACAAAGCACATTACTTCGGCTTCTGTTTCTCCTTCTCATTCTGCATCTTCTGCTGCTACTTCTTATTCTTAGTCAGGAGAATGTTTGGAAACCAAAATCATCGAGGCATTCAGTAGCACAAACAGTTGCAGTGGAGGACATCAACTTTTTAAGGCAGCTGTCATGGGAGACATCAAATCCTTTCAATGTCTTCAGGCAGAACCTTTTGTTTTAGACAACCCTCTGAACCCCAACCATTACGGTGTCAACATATTTGGAAGCACTACGGCGGTATATGTTTAGTAACTGCAGTGGCTCCTTGCGTAATTTTTGCCAAGAAAGACCGCACCATCGTAGAAACTATTTTACCAGATTTGCAAGACATGGTGACGAAGACCCTCAAGCCATGGACCTCAAACTTGACGAGCGTGCGATCGGTTTGCTCAACAGTATACTATGGTATACTATCCTGAAATATACTGAACAGGTCTTGTTTGGAGGCCATTGCTTCTAGGTTGGAGGCCATCGCTATTGGGTTGGAGGCCATCGCTGGTAGTTTGGAGGCCATCACTTTTAGGTTGGAGGCCACGGCTACAAGTTTGGAGGCCATCGCTCTTAGGTTGCGGGCCATCGCTATAAGGTTGCTCTGAACATGTCTTGGCGTCTCCGCAAAGCCCAAACCAGTTCTGTCTGCCCCTCTGTCCCGCTCTGCCTTGTGCCAGAGCCACCTGGCCAGCTACATCAGCCTGCGATCCGCTCTAGAGGCAGGCCAACACTTCCAAAAAAGACCATGAGCTGAAGAGGGCAAACTTTCAAACAGGGAGTTCATTGAATATTGAAGAGGTGTGCGGAGTGCATCACAAAACGAAAAACTTGGATTTGCTCGGTTGACTTCGGTACACTGACTGTCACCCGTTCAGGTCACTCGACTTCAACTCTCAGTCGCAGCTGATTAATTCACAGCTTCTTTTTCGCCACTCTGATTGCCAGAGGTCGAGTGCTAAAGGAACAACTAGGAGAGTGGGATTTGGCTGGCGACTGTCGAAAATGAGCCCGAACATCTGGCTAAATCCCAAGCGCTGAGCGGCATCAGGTCCTTGAAGCAGACGAAGTGACGCGTCGACTTCGGCTGCTTCAGAGAGATTGGTCTCCGAATTCGGCGAGCGGCTCCGATGAACCAACGCCCAGTGGTGAAATCTTCTGCGGAAAAGGTGAACATTGTCAACGCCAAACTACACAACACATCACACCACAACACTTCCAACTGGGCAACGCCAAATAGGCCTTCAATTCGACTTTGGATATCAGGCCTTGACACTTTATGCCTGATGCTAGGCTTCGCCGACATGGCCCAAAAAGAACAGGGAAGGAAAAGGGATATATCATATATCGGATATGTTTTATGGCTTTATCGACAGGTTTACATGATTGAACCTATTTGAACAAGTTGGTTTCTCGCCACTTCCCTTTGGGCCTTCTGCGAAAGTATGCAGACTTGCACAAAAATTCGATGAATTGGCCACTGCATCTGGCTGAAGCACACTTTCGGCCCCTGCCCGTTCACTTCTTCCAATTGCTCATCTCTCTGCCAGTCTGTCTTTTCTGTTGGCTCTCGTACCTGAAAGCTACAGCTAGATTTTTTGCCGTCAAGATGTTCAGCCACCGACGCAATGGGACAAAACACAATTGGTTCTTGGAACCAAGTTCGCTGGCTTGTGACTACTATACCAGCGCCAGCTTCTTTGCAAGGCATCAGGTTCACATGCTTCGCATATTTGCATCATCTGGATTCGATCAAGTAGTATGTTTTCACAACCGCCAAAGCGTGATTACTTTTGGTAGACTTTGACAACACACTATTTAGCCTTGCAAGATTGCTTGATTAGCCTTAGCATGAAAGAAAGCGCCGCAGTAATTTGCGTCTTGAAACGCATCAGTCGTCTCGACTGCTGAGGGCGGCAAGTAAAGCACAGGCAAGCTTGCTCCCGGCACGAGACATGAGGAGACGAAGTCGGCTTCTTTGTCTGTCTTTTCGAAGGCAGAAGTTCTTATCTCTATCAGTCTATGAGAGTCTATGAGCAATAGTAACTATTGCATCAAATTGCATCCCTTCCTTTTGCAATATGAGACTATGATAATTAGTCTATGAGTCTATTATGTCTTGTACGAAACAAACCCCTCACCGCACGGCTTCTCTGCCCTCATTTGGAAGACTCGTAGCAGCGATACCAGTGGTTCACCTGCTTGAACCTCAGCATGGAGCACAAAGCTGGCGACTTCGCAACTTCAAAAGTACAGCGTCACCGACAGCATGCACGTAGCAGCGTCGCCGTCATGTCAAGACCCTGGGCCTTTGGAACAACGGCTGAACTTCTTCTTCGGTCATTTCTGAAATTGGTTCATTCGAAACAGAGCCGAAGCCGACTAAAACTGCAGAGCAACGAATGGAATGCCACCGCTGCCTTGTTGCCACAATCAACACCCCAGCAACGTTCATCGTGAAGGAAGTTCATATAGTCTGGCAGAGTTTGCACCTCAGCTGCAAATTTCTGATTTGCTTTGACGGAAGGCCCTTGCAGTATGCTCTTGCTTGCCCCTTTTCCATTGCGCCATGCTCGCTGAGCCACTCCAAGCATCTCCAAACAGCCAGCCATGTACCTGGAGCAAAGCCAGAAAATGGACGACCCGACGGTTTTGAGAATCTTCTGCGGAGAACTCTTATGCCGAAGTAGAAATAGTCGGAAAATAGAGAAACTAGACGACGAGTGGCCCGAAAGCATTTTTCATCACGTAGGAAGTCAGAGTGCGAGTTATCTGTTAAGTGTGCAGTGTGAAGTGTTAAGTCGAGTGAGTTGAGGTAGTGTGTGGGTCTCTGTGTGTGTGTATCTATGTCCGCGTGTATATGAGTCTCTGTCTGTGTGTGTGTGTCCGAGTAAGTTGAGGCAGTGCGTGGGCCTCTGTGTGTGATGTGCGTGTGTATGAGTCCCTGTCTGTGTGTGTGTATGTCCATGTCTGCTGCTGGTGAAGGTCTTCACTGTACATATAGTGAACGAATTAGCGCGCAGGCTTCCCAAACCCCCCACCGGCGGCCAAGCGGTGACAGCCCAGCTCATCGTCGTGAGCATTTGGGCCGCTGGTAAGGGGAGAAGCAGCGTGCACGCCTCCAGGAAATCTCACTGAAAAAAGCAAGCTGGAATGAAGCGTACTAAAGTTGTACTACAAAGTCGCCAGTTCTCATCTTCCAGCTCCACAGATTGCTCCGCGTACTAAAGTTCTACTACCAAGTCGCCAGTTCTCATCTTCCAACTCCCCAGATACTCCGCGTGCTCAAGTTGTACTACCAAGTCGCCAGTTCTCATCTTCCAGCTCCCCGGATACTCCGCGTACTAAAGTTGTACTACCAAGTCATTGCACTACCAAGTCACCAGTTCTCATCTTCCCGCTCCCCAGATACTCCGCGTACTAAAGTTGTACCACCAAGTCGCCAGTTCTCATCTTCCAGCTCCCCAGATGCTCCGCGTACTCAAGTTGTACTACCAAGTCGCCAGTTCTCATCTTCCCACTCCCCAGCTACTCCGCGTACTA